CATTGAAGGAGAAGCTGATGCTTGTGATTTCAGATTTGGTTGTTTAAAATTTTTTTGTTCCATAAATATTTGATTTAGGATATTTTCAATTAAAATTTAGTTTCAAGGAAGATGTGTGTTTTTTGCATTCATATATTGATTTTACTGTTGCAAAATCGGTAATCTCCAAGTGTTTTAAGCAAAACCAGAAATCTCCAAACTTAAATTGTGAATTACTTAAAATTTTATAAAATAATTAGGTTAATTTTGTGAATAACTAAAATTAATGTAAAAATAAATATAAATAACAAAAAAAAAAATAAAACTTTAATAAAACGCTACAGTTTTAATAAAAAATTGCTCCAGACCACCCTTTTCCCCCTATAGCACTCTGAAGCGCGATAGGGGCACCCAAATGCTCTTCATATGGGAGTCCTGGGTAGTAGAACTCTAACATGGTACCCCATCCGATTAAAAATTCAGGGTAACATTAGTCACTTTATTCCTTTTATCTTCATGTGACTCCGCAGCGAAATTAAAATTGCTTACTTGGGCCATAAGCTTCCGCTCTGGGCTATGCCCAGTTCAGAGACTTTTACAAGGGTCCGTAGGGTCCAAGGATTTGGGCCCTACGTGCCTGGGTTTTTTATGGTTTTGTTAATATTTTTTTGTTGGCTTACGCCGGTTTTCTGTTAGTAGTTTTTATATTTTTTTGGTGGTCGAAACCGTAAGATTAAGCTTAGACAGTAGCTTGTGTTAAAAATGAGGCTGACATAAAAATTAGTCAAACCAAAAAATGCTTGCCATCTATTTTTTTTTCTAAGTTAATGGCATTGGCAAAGCCAAAAGGCCAGTCATGTTTTCTCATAGTTTTATCATCCATTTCCATTGTTTACATTATATACATATTAATATTATGTACAGGTTAAATTAAGATACAATATTTTTAGTGTGTTAGTAAATGCCTAATATTTTCGTTACTTATTTTTATTTTTATTGTTTTTTTTTATATCAGTCTATATACCATTGTAACTTTTCTTTTATTTTTATTGTTTATTTCTTTTTATTAGTATTATTTTTTTATTGTTTAATATTATTTATTTATTGGTTTGCTTTTTTTTGTTTTTTTTTCGTTTTAGGCTTACAAATTTATTCATATATCGCTATACTGCTTATAAAGTAATATTAGTAGATTTTACATACTGATATATGATGTTGTAGATACTATTATCCTCTAATGTCAATAGATTTGAAACATTTATTGGAAATTTCATTTTGTACAATATTAAATTTTGATAAAACTTATCGATTTCTATTTTTTTTAAAGGAAATTCTACAAGAATATGTTGTAAATTGGCAATTTGATCACATAGACATTTATTATTATCTAACAAACCTATTTTATGTTTATACGCTGGAAATAGTGCATGATTGCAGCGCACATTCTTAAAAAACTGTCCTTTGTCTCCACATTTATATTTTATCTGCCACTTTTCCTTAAGTTCCTTTCGAAAAATTGGAATAAAATCAGACTCTGGTATTTTTAATCTAAGTAGTCTTTCATTTTTCGCACCATCTTTTGCTAAATAGTCCACTTCTTCATTTTCTTCTATACCTGAATGGGCTTTTATCCATGATATATAAATTTGTTTTCCTCTACTTGATACATTTTAATACAATTCTAAAATATCAAGAAGGATGTAATTTAAATTAGGACTTAAAAACAGATTATTAAGTTTTTCTACCGAACTTTTAGAGTCTGTAAATATGACAAATTTATCCTCTTCTTGTTCTAAACACAGATTAATTGCTAGTTTTATGGCAATAAGCTCAGCACTGAAAATTGACATCATATCTGACAGTTTGTATATTAGTTTGATATTTTTGGACCGATAATAAACTGCACAGCCAACTCCATGTTCCGATTTAGATCCATCAGTATAAACTTTTTCATACTGTTTCCATTTTACTATTCAATCTCGATAATATTCTTTTTGTATAATAATATTGTTTTGACACAAATAGCGAGTGTTAATATGAGTCTTAACTGGAGAAAGAAACATTTCATAAAAATAATTCCATAAAGAGATTCCATTGGATTTATAAAGTTCTTCATATCTGTGAATATTGGTAATGTGCCATCTATTTAGACTTAATAGGAACAATTACCAAGAATGAAAAATTTTCAGCCAAAGAAATAGCAAGTGCAATATTAAGAAAAGGACAGATTTCTTGTATGAAAAATGAAGAACATTACAAACTAGAAAATCAAAAGAAATATTAACATGCTTTTTACTAAACACGGCAATAACATGGTCGAAGTATCTTGTTATCGTAAACTAAACTGAGAGCTCCGATCAAATAAATAATTACTCAAACCCCCTTGGGAAGCGCTTTAAAAACGTTGATTTTTGAATTATTATTGACTACATCAGTTTGTTTAATAAAAAATAGATAATATTTGATAATTACATCCTTATATTGCAAATTACACGGTATTCAATGCTAATTAACACCTACTTTATTTTTTATATTATCAAATGTTTTAGAATAGTTATGTTTTAATGAATACAGTGCCTTAAATTAATGGCATTACTCATTAAGTATTAGCGCAGTGTTAATTAAAAACTAGAAAAATTTGTGCTCAATGTGATAAATAAATAATCAATAACATGTTTTCTATCAAAGTTTAACATTTATACTCGGGTATATAACTTTATTAAAAATAATAAGTATTTATAACAAAACCGTTTAGTTCTAAAATAATGTAAAGTTTTTTCCTCTTTTTCTTTTTATATTGATGTAACTGTCTGTTTTTCAATGTTCCTCTGGCGACACAGAGAGAACAAAAAGATTGCTTAAACATAATTTTCTGCATATTTTCCGCTATTGGATATCTCATTGATATCTCTTTGATCTAGTTAAACATTATTTAAGCAATTATTTTTCAGTGTGTAACACTGGAAAATAAAAAGATAAAACGATTTGTATTTAATAAACATCAAGGTGTTTAAAGATAATTACGTTAAACAAATTCTGAAGAACATTCATGTTAAATTTTGCATATTTTTATTTGATTTAAAATTTATGTTTCTTCGGAACTAAGATGTATATATTTAACTGATTTAAAAACAAACAAATCTTTACTACATTTAACAAACGCAATTTATTGAGTTTTATGAAAACTATACAGGGTTGGTGATATTTACACTCCTTGATATTTTTTCTAATAGTTTTGTTTATTTCTTTGTATTTCATTTTATTTCTATCCCCTTGTTCTAGTAATTTTCTTCTTGTGTTCATAAGAATCTTTGTTTTCTGGGATATGAAACTTTTTTTTTGTTGTTGTGCTGTTTCTTTGCCCCTCTTTCATTGGAGTTTCAGTAAATATCATGTTTATTGTATCGATATGTTTGTGTTCTACATCTTCCTTGGTAGGCAATATTTCCTTTATTTTCTCTTCTTACGTCTGTTTCTTGTTTTAGTTTTTCCATGTCTATATTTTGATTATTTTCCATTTTCTTTCTTGTTTCAAATCTACTACCACCGATTGTCTATGGTCGTTAGCAGTTGAGAAGCGATTTAGGGCTATTACGTCTTTAACCATGGATTTTTGCGTTGACAGAATATTTCGTATTTAGTTTCACCATTGGGATTAATTCAGGTCCATTTTCTTTGGGGTTTTTTCTTAAAGAATATATTCATTGCATATATTGGCTTCTCCTCCAAGTAATTGATCAACGTGTGTCCTCTATCATTTCTTTTGTCATATCCATGTTGCGCTACTTCGTCTTCTTCTTTATATAGTTGTTCTCTTATCTTGGCATTGAAGTCCCAGATTATTAGCGTTAATTTTGATTTCTTTTCTTCAATAGCTGTTGTTATGTCTTCGTAGAAATGTTCAATATCTTCATCGCTGTAGGTACTTGTTGGAGCATACATCTGTATCATTTTTAGGGACGTTTTTTTTTTAACTTAAGCGTCATCGACTCTATCTGATATGCCCTTGGTAGATTGTATGTACTTAAATACTTTTTTATTTATTATAAATCCTACTTCATTGTTGGTGTTTTCTTTATTACGTTTATAGTATAGCAAATTTCCTAATTTTAGCTGTATATTTTGTTTTCCTTTTCTTGTTACTTAGGATATGCCGATAATATCCCACTGTATTTTAGTAAGTTATTTAGATTTTAGTATCTTCGTTCATGGATATGATGTTATACGTTCCTACATTTATTTTTGTCGAATATTTGCCTCCCCCAGAATCCTTGAGGAGAACCGGTTTCCCGGTGTGGGATTCCGAGCTAGTAACTCTACCCACCTGAACTCCTATTCCATTTGTTTCATAATTCGACATGTTTCCTGAAGAGGGTGTTTTGGCATTAAAACACCTCGCTTGCCAGACGCGTTGATGAGTTCTCATCGGCCGCCCACTCTGGGTCAGACGCTGTACGTGGCCGTCCACTGTGGATCAGACCCTACTGTTTTGTTATTTTTATTCCACGTCGGATATTTAATCTGCCCGGTACCACCTATATCTGGGAGGCATTCTCCTATCCGCCACCTGGGGACGCGCCCGATGGGGGACTATACCCCACACACAGGAAAAGCATATGCAAGGAAATAAACAATATATACTCTGATATGTCAAGATTCGATGATGTTGAAAAGTCATGGACCACCATAAAAGAATTATTGGATGATGTGAACAACACTTTGTTTCTCCAAAATAAAGCAACTACCAAGAATGTGTCGTCTTTTTACTTGTATATAAATCTGGAGAATATATTGTAAATAATACTTCGTTTAAAGACAGTCTTTTATTATATTCTTACACATAGTGAAATTAAAGCTAAATCTAGTAGTATCTGTATTGTATACCTATCAAATATTGCCTAAATTGGATATTGTTTAAAGTTTGTACAACAATCGGATCTTAAATTTTACAAGAAGGTTCTTTCTCCGCTTCTCAGCGCTTTCTTTTAATCATTATTACACTGAGAGAAGCAAAAAATAACGTCCAAATCAACGCAACACAAACTCCATTATACACCTCGAAGTTCTCTAAAGACCAACCCTTTTTGAAAACGTTTCTAAATGATTCTATTGGTATTGTTACTGGCGTACATTTGGAAATGAATCTTAATGCCGGGGGCATTCCTTCAATAGGCCACATCAAACCTAAAATAAGAAAATTTATTTAATATAACAAAACGTAGAATAAGTTGCTACAGTCTTCAACCAAGTGCAATGATGCAATTTCTACTGCATTGGTCGTGGTAAACATAAACAAGCTTTTAGCGCTTTGTAGAATCTTAGAATTTATACTTCTACTTACCACATAATGACATCATGGGGAAAAACATCCCAGTAATTACCAAATTGGCTACTAAATGGTTAACGCTTACTACCGAGATCCAAAATCCTAAAAATATAATACAATCGAATATTAAAAGTATATAAACCTGTTTAACATGTGCCTTTTCGACAGTTATTTGCCCGACATATGGCACAATGATGAGATAATTTTATTGTACAAAAAAGAAGATCCACATAAACTAGAAAACTACAGACCTATGTCTTCTTATTTACCTATACAAACTCCCTACAAGGATAGTAACGAATTGTCTTGAGAAAAAACTTGATTTCTACCAGTAAATAGAGCAAGCAGGATTTTGTACCTGATTTGGAACAAATAACCTACAGAGCATTAAAACGGTAATAGAAAAGACTATCGAATACAATCGACCACTCGTTCTGGCTATTGTAGATTTCCATAAAGCCTTTGACACGGTAGAATTTGACAAAATCCTGGAAGCACTACAAACATACCGCATTACTACCGATGACTATCGATCTTCATCTTCGCAATGACAATTCGCACTTCTGATACCGCTGCTCTAAAGAGGTCAGCAGAAGTGCAGTTAAACCAAGCTCTCAAATTGTTTAACCAGGAGATCTGTATTTTTCCTTGCATTATTAATTGTTACAATTTATAACGCTCGCCCTTCATGACATGTCCCAGATATTGCAGTTTTCTGACCTTAATTTTATTTAAAACCTCTTTATCTTTTCCCATTCTTCTTAACACCTCGACATTCGTCACTCTATAAACCCAACTTATTCTTAATATCCTTTAACTACCGATATACAAGGTTAATTGACAATACATACAAAAACGCAACCTTGTCAATCTTCTTCTTAGAGTGCCATATCCCTACGGAACGTCGGCGACTACCATGCTTATAATATTATTATACTGATTTCGGTCTTGCGCTACGTGTAGCAATTGGTCCGCTGTCAAACCTGTCCACTGCTGCAAATTCCTCAACCAAGAGAGTTTCTTCCGTCCTATCCATTTCTTTCCTTCGATTTTACTGTTGAGAATTAGCCGAAGGAACTCATATCTTGGTCCTCTGATTATATGTCCAAGATATTCTATTTTACGCCTCTTAATAATATTTAATAGAGTTCGTTGATTTCCCATTCTTCGAAGAACTTCTTCGTTTCTGGTTCTACTAGGCCATGGAATTTTTAGTATCCTTCGATACAACCACATCTCAAACGCCTCGATTTTATTCATGATATCGGCGTTTAGAGTCCAAGTTTCACATCCATACAAAAGTACAGACACTAACATCTTGTAAACTTTTTACGGATTTCCAAATTTAATGAGTTATTGGATAATAGAGGCTTGAATTTTTGAAATGAGTTTCTTGCCTGTTCAATTCTACATCGAATTTCGAAGGATGGATCTAGATTTTGGGTAATCCAACATCCAAGGTATTTGAATCTCTGAACTCTCTGCAGCGGTTGTTGGTTTAATATCAGTTGGGTTGCGCCGATATCCGCTTTACTGGTCACCATGTATTTAGTTTTATCGATATTTATCGACAGTCCCCAATTTGTGCATTCCGTGTTAACTCTATTGATTAGCTCCTGCAGATCGTCGATGTTTTCAGCTAGAATCACAGCATCGTCAGCGTACCGTATATTGTTAATTATTTCTCCTCCTATGATAATTCATTTTTGATCTTTTAAAGCTTCCCTAAATAGATTCTCAGAATACACGTTAAAGAGGGTGGGAGATAGTATACAGCCTTGTCTTACGCCTCGTTGAATACTGATTGGCTTTGATTCTCTGTTGTTGGTATTAATAATGGCTGTTTGGTTCCAGTAAAGTTTGGCAATAAGTCTGATGTCCTTCTCATCTAGTTGGATGCTAGGCGGTAATTAGTCTGGTATGCTGAACGCAATCAAATGCCTTTTCAAAATCAATTAAGCACATATATACGGGTTTTCTTACCTCCAAAAATCGTTGAAGGAGTGTTTGCATAGAAAATAGTTCTTCTCTATTTCCAAGGCATCTCTGCAACCTGAACTGCTCTTGACTAATTATTTCTTCGCACTTGTTGTTAATTCGGTTTAGAAGAATATGCAGCAGTATTTTAATGGCATGGCTCATTAAACTAATGAGTCTACAATCGCTACATTTCTTAACGTTTGGTTTCTTAGGTAGAGGAATAAAGATCGATTTTAACCAGTCCGATGGCATTTCACTGGTATCATATATTTGATTGAAAAGTACAGTGAGGTCTTTTATATTGTCATTTGAGAGTAATTTTAGCCTTTCGCTGTATATTTGATCTGATCCACTGGCTTTGTTGCTTTTGGCTTGGTGTACGGCTTTTTCCACTTCAGCTTTTAAGATTGATGGTCCTGTATTTGCACTTAAGTTAGACAGTGATCCTCGATCATCCTTAAATAATGCTTTAATGCAGTTTTTAAGCTTAAGCTTTAAGCTTTAATGCAACCTTGTCGATGAAACTACATAAAAACACGGATCATATCTTAATCGGTAGAGGAGTCCGACAGAGTGATACCTAAACTGTTTACCGCAGTACTAGAATATGCTTGTAAAAAACTTAACTAGGAAGAGAAAGGCCGAACATTGACGGTAGAAGATTAAGAAATTTGAAATTCGCAGACGACATAGTTTTGTTCTAGGACAACCTCAAGGAGGTATGTACAATGCTACATCAACTTCAGTTAGTGTGTGCCAGTGTGGGTCTTAAAATAACCATATCGAAAACAATATACATGACAAACCTAGTACCTAGCGGAAATATCAATATTGAAGACAACGAAGTAAAGCTGGTGGAAAAATACCTTGGACACGAAACAAAGATCACAAGAGGCAACCAACTATAAAGAAGAATAAATTTAGCATGGGTAGCCTATGGAAATCTCAAAGACATCTTTAAAAGCGATATACCAATTTCTTTAATACGTAAAACATTTTAATAATGTGTGTTACCTGTGATGACCTATGGTGCCGAAATGTTGACATTTACAGCTGCAACTTCTAAAACGCTGCAAATAGCACAGAGGAAAATGTAAAGGTCGATGCTGGGTATATTGCTTTGTGACCGAGTTAGAAATGACTTAAGACGAAGAACAGCAGTTACCGATGTAATTTCCCGAATTGCCACCCTGAAATGGAATTGGGCCGGACACGTCGCCCGAATCAGTGATGAAAGGTGGACGAAGAGATTGCTTGAGATGCCAAGGTTAGACAAAAGAAATAGAGGAAGACCCCCTACTTGATGATCTCAAGAAAATGTCAGAAAATTGGATGAAAAGTGCTCAAGATAGAGCACAATGGACAAAAATGCTAGCAAAAAAAGCTAGTGCGTTGAAGACAGGAAATTTTGTCTTCAATGAAAATCGCTATGGGACGAAATATGTCTCAAATTAATGTAAACCAAGCATGGAATCGTTATTTAGCGACATACACATATAGGGCAACATATACATTTGGGGGAGAACGGGAAAGATCAACAACTTCTACTAGATCGTTTCATAGTCCTCACGACCTCTAGGGCTCATAGACAATGGGACAAGGTACAATGCGCAAGCTACTGGAACAATTATTTCTATTCAATCTACCAGAAGACGGTTGCATGCATGCTATTTGAGAATAATTAGGCGGACTACACACATGATTTACGATGGAGCAATGCGCATCTTTTTTAAATAATTTGCTAAGTTGCTCTTGAAGATATCTGATAGGGCATGCTAAAGTGATTCTTCTTTGCAGTTCAGTGGTTTATATAGTGTGGTATAGTGTGCTATTGTACCGTTTAGGGCTAAAACAATGTCTCGTAGAATTCTTATATTTCACAGTCTAGCGAATTACATAGTAACATGGAATTACTTAATGTAACTAGACACGCGGATGATATAGTAACTCAATCAAGTAGCGTTGACGGTCTTCAGATTCACCTGCATATTCTGGTACATTATCCTTCGCATGTTCACTGCTGGACATAGATCTCCCTCATAATTTTCCATCTGTTTCGATCTTGTGCCTCTTGCATCCAAATTTTCAACATGAAAATCAAAATTCAAGCATAACGTATCTTCAATTCAAATTTTATTCCCATTACATATATTACATAATATAGAATTTTCACAAGAGAATAATTTTGGATCCATATATTTAATTGTAATCATACTTACCATAAGATATTCCACAAATCCCTGACAAATATATTAAAGCGTACATCAAAACCAAGTTGCCCATAAATGCATGTTTGTAATATAGATACGCTACAAATAAGGCTTCTGCAGCTTGTATAACACAAACGGAAGCTTGTAGGACTATATGGGTCAAAGTTATCTCTAGGGAAGTTACTCCTGCAACGATAGATCTATCCCAAACTCCATCATGTCGATCTGTTATTATTATTTGAGAAGTCATCATTGATCCCATAAAGAACATAGTCCTAGAAATAAAGTAATTTATAATCTTTTAAATGTTTGTTAATCAATTGTTTTAAATGTACATTATGGTTTTTTCTTCCATAGTAATATTTTATGTATGCTCTGTATAAGTTTGTTATTAAATATGAGCTTCATATTTAATAACAAACTTCGTCAAATCATTTAACACAGTGTGGTCCAATCTCAGGTACGCGGGCCGCATGCGGCCCGATGTTTGTTAAACTGAGGCCCCCTCAAACACATTTCAAAAATATTGCCATTGATAACTATTACCTCTTTCAAACCTGTCTAACTTTCCGTAATCTTAAGAAAGTAGTTAACCTTGAATACCAACTCCCGATGAGCGGGTGTAGTTAGCTTCAGTCAGCTGCACGTGTCGAGTTGAATTAACAGTAGCGAATAAAGTGAATGTTAAGGCCCGTTTTCACGCTACGTCTTATAGTACGTTTTGTTGGATAGGACAAATCCTATACAATAATACGTTGCATGTAAACAGCAAAACGTACGTCTTGTCGGAAGGAAACACATAGTGTGTAGGTATACACTGGTCAAAACGTACGTTTTGTCTTACGTTTTATATGACCAACAAAACGTACAATAAGACGTAGCGTGAAAACGGGCCTTTAAATTCAGAGTAATGCCAAAAAACGCAAAATTTTCGAAGATAATCGTACGTTCCAAGGAAAATGGGAATATATTTCTTTATCGAATTAAAAGGCAAACCTCAGTGCATTATTTGTTGTCAAGTACTGGCGGTATCAAAATAATACAATATTAGAAGGCATTACGACACCCAGCACAAAACAAAATACGACAAATATCAAGGTGAACCTCGCAATACTCTTGTTAAAGAACTTTATTACGTTAAAGAACAAAAATCTCTTTTTACAAAACCGACAGCTGTTCAATAATTAAGCTTAGCAGCATCATATGAAGTATGTTTAGAGCTTGTCAAAAGTAAAAAACCATTTAGAGATGGAGATCCTTTGGAGATGAAAATATGGTCAAAAATTTTGAATGTGTTCCAGTTTCCCATCAAGAAGAGATAATGAGCTGAATACTTATGTATTTAAAAAAATGGTCAACATAGTTCGTAATTGTTTGTACTACTCCTTAGCCCTGGACGAATCTGTTGATATTACTGACAAAAATCAACTACATATTAATTTTTGTAAGATGCATCAGTGAAGATTTTTGTGTAACTGAGGAACTTCTAAAACTGCACCACATGGAAGACGGGATCAAAGGTATAAATATATTTGAAATTAGTGACGCTGTGAAAAATATAAGAGGTTTTCAAAAGTGCTTTTGCGTTTGCACCGACGCGACGGAGCAAAAACAATGACGGGACGCATTGAACGGAATTGGCTAAACTTTTGCGTGAAAATGTTGTTAACTGTGTTATGTTGCATTGCATTATCCATTAAGAGGCTCTCTGCGGAAATATAATTAAAATCAACGATACTATGGAAACTGTAGTGCAGATGAGAAGATAGTAGACAGTTTAAGAGGAGAAAACAGAGCTTAGTAACACCGAAAATTCATCTCTTTCTTGGAGGAATTAAATACTGAATATAAGGGCATCCCCATACATTCAGTGATGCGCTGGTTGAGTGTAAGTATATGCCTAGACTCTAGGTATAAGCCTAGAAATTCCTTTTTCTTTAATAAAAGAGATCTTACTGTTTTTGAAACGGAAATTGTTATTAACACAAACGTATTTATAACACGGGGTGTAGAGTTGTATTATAGAGGTAGCACTTTTTATCGGAACGACCACACCAAGCGTCATAGACGGGAGATGGTTCTTGATAACTGGTCTTCATAAGACAACTTACTCTCAGTTATGGCTCCACGTGCCACACCCTGGACAACTGCATTGGTCTGCAGGCTAAACTAAGTGAGAGTAGCCAGATATGGCGAGAATTTCACCGAGTGATTGCCGGTATAAGCAATCTCCCACTTACCGACCAACGGCTTCGGGCGGATGAGTTAGTAAGTGGTAGGGCACTCTTTTGTCCTGGGGTTGAGAAATCGGCCTCGAAGGCGGATGAACAAAAAAACTATCAACGGCATAAGAATGTAGAAGGCAAGGGGAAACCACTACATTAAAGATTCTACATAGATATCCCTAGTACAATTGTCATGGCTGTACAAAAAAGTAACTCTGTTACTGATCATGGATATCGGAGGCCAAGATCCGATAGGGGAGGCAAATCACACATAGACCACAGGCTCAGGTCGATATAAAACGAAATCTCTGTGAAATACCTATTAGAAATACATCGTCCAAAAAGAAGACTAAAATCGACAGAAAGTGTATGAAGATAGGCACGTGGAATGTTAAGTCGATATACCAAGCAGGTAAAGTCCATAATGTCATTCAGGAAATGGAAAGACTTGACATAAAAATATTAGGACTAAGTGAAACCAGATGGCCCAATTCAGGTGACATATTAGTAGGCCAAACAAAGATATACTACTCTGGTAATGACAACGACGCAAATCACTACAACGGAGTAGCGATATTAATTGACAAAACTACCCAGAAAATTGTAACTGGCTTCTTACCCATCTCGGATAGAGTTATGATGGTAACACTAAAAAAAACTTAATCTATAATCAATATAATTCAAGTATACGCTCCCACTGCAGAAAAGTCGGATGAAGAGCTCGAACAGTTTTATAATGAATTACAACAAGCTTTAGAAGTAGCCAAGTCTAGAGACGTTACAATAGTCATGGGAGATCTGAATGCAAAAATCGGTAGAGGAAGTCAAGATGATTTTATTGGAAACTTTGGACTGGGCACCCGTAACGAGAGAGGAGACAGATTGGCTCAATTCTGCCAAGAGACCGATTTGATTGTCGCGAATACTTATTATGATCTACCACCCAGGAGACTCTATATATGGAAATCTCCAGCAGACAACCAACATAACGCATCAGAAACCAAATTGACTACCTTCTTATCTGCAAACGATACCGAAATTCCATAAAATCAGTAAAATCATACCCCGGAGCTGATGTGAGATCAGATCACAACCCAGTTGTAGGAAGGTTTAGAAATAATCTAAAAAAGCTTGTGGCTAAAACTAAAGTAGAGAGGATACAAGTATCCCGTTTGAAAGATCCATCAACAAAAGAGCAAGTCACACTAAAAATTAAAGAAGAGTTCACCAAAATAGAAATTATTCCTACTGAAGATGCGAACATACAGACAATTTTGATAGTAGCAATGAACCAAAATCAGAACCAAAAAAGTCGCAGAAGAAAACCGTTTTAGACTCAGACTAATAATCGATACTCAAAGTTTGGAGAGAGAATCTATTATAATCTTTTTGCCGACGGGACTCTATTATCTGACGACCTATACTTACTGTTTGTCATTTTTATAAAGATACTTACGTTATAAGACATGCGGGAATCATGAATAATATAAATTGCTCGTCGTTTTGACCATAAAAGAAGTCAAATCTTAATGGTATATTTCCAAAACCATGTGTATACTGACAGTCATCAAAAAGTTCGCTTTGAAATTTGGAATAGAGATTTAGCAGTTTGTATTTTAAAGCTGCTCCAATTTGTCTGTCTGAAAAGAGCAACAATATTAAGATATCGAGATTTGCACCATAGTTATGTTATGTTTTATTTATATAGTTTTTACCTAATTATATTACATAGCTCAATAGCCGTTTCCATGCCAGAACAGAACTAAATTTAAATATTTTTGGTGCACTGATTTCAAAAGGTCGTTTTTTTCGTAGCGGCCCTAATTTTTAAAATAGCTTCGAAGGCAAGCTAGTATTTGCGTTTCGTAGATTAAAAAAAGAATCTTTGCAAAAATCAGTCATTTTTCTCTAGTTACCTTTGAATGTTCTTAGTACAAAGAACGTTATGTGAAAATATTGGCTTAAAAATCGTAGAGTTTCTAAAAGTTACTATGAAGCTACTTAGAATAACGAATCTTTGCAAAAATCAGTCATTTTTCTCTAGTTCACTTTGAATGTTCTTAGTACAAATACTTTTAAATTTTTAATACTTACTAGACATATCCATCCACACTTTTATCTCACTTAACGAAATAGTTTCACTATCAGCATCCCTTCCATTTTCTATTCTCTCTTTTAAATTAGACGTAAAATTGAAATCCATATACATAGCACCAACAATCTGTCCATGTACTACAGCATCCTTGGCTTTCTCCAAACTATTGTACTGAATCTGTAAGTCAAGTAAAGATACACGGTATTTATTCAGGTAAAATAATGATTTGAGAAAAAAGAAAATGGTAATCGACGAAATAACAAAATTGTAAGAAAATCTTAATATTACTACTACTGATATTCCACCAATGGTGAGTCTGGACCTCCAAAAAGAACAATTTTCAGCCACTCTTCCAAATTTTCGGAGTACCAGCTTCCTCAAATATTTTTAACCAAATATTTTTTTACCGTCGAAATAGCCAAAGTTCCTCAATGGCAAAAAAATTTAATTCAAACCTCTTATAACTTATATTTAATTCCAAAATTTCATACCAAGATACCAGATCCAAAAAAGGGAAATTCCCAATGGTTGGCAGTAAACCATAGTTTTAAACCATCAACTGTGCCTTTCAAAAAATAAGAACCAATAATTTTATTGTTAATAATACCAGCCTAAACGTTAACTTTTTTAGGATATTGCGTATGAGTCTGACACCCAGTGAGGATTTTCTCTGCTCCAATATTTACAGTTCTGTTTGTTAACCGTTCCGTCGTCGCTTCATCCGGAAAACTATTTTGTTTATAAAAAAATTGATTTCAAATCCTTTATAAAAGGTATATAATAAATATAATATATAAGGTATATAAAAAATAATATAATTATTTTGTTTATGAACTGCAAATCTGCATTCATTCTGTCCGTCATTACACAGAATTTCTGCCTTCTATCGGGATTATCTTCATTCAACTTCTGAACCAACTAAACTTTGTAAGAGTGTTATTTTTCTTTATGCAAAACTTTTTTATCTTATGAGGATTTTCCTCAATCTCTAGAAGTACTTTTCTTTTCAATCTAACTTTTTTCATCGGTAAATTTAGCATTTCTACCTGGTTTTTCAATATTTTTTACATGTCCAGTTTAACGAAACTTCTTTTCAATTTTGCTAACTGTAAATTGCGAAACTTGTTGACCAGTGTATTTATTATCAAAAATTTCACAAACCTCTTTTTGGGTTCTTGTTTTATTACCACAACCAATCATAATTAAAATGTCTATTCTTTGAGTCTCGGACAAATGAGCCATAATTAAATTTAATACGCGCACAAATATTATACTGACGCCTTTTAGTAACTTTAAATACCTAAATGACAGCAGCCTACTAGATTCATATCAATTGTTTATTTGGCTTTTAGACTAATATGTTATTATCTTCTTATTATATAAAACTAATAAGTTTTTTTCCTAATGTTTAGCAGAACATATACGAAAATACCTGATTATTGCCTAAAGTATATTTTAATAGACCAGGCAATATGGCTGATTTATAAGTTGGGATAACGAAAGAAATTAACAAAATAATCCGCGAGGTCATACTAAATGTTGTACGATAATTTCAAAATTGACTCGGTTATTGCCAAGAAGTGAATAATAGTGGTCAAGTTAAACATTTAATTTACTCGTAAAAATCAATTTTCTCAGTTATGATTGCACAAACTCAAAAAAACTTTATATTTCTGAACAGAGGACTAAAATCCCGTTCTAATAAGGTGCTACACGACCCCCTTTGGTATTTAAAATGTTCGAGGAGGTGCTTATAATTCAAAGGGGGTGCCGGAGGGGATAATATATTCATACTGTAAGTTGTCAATTTAAGAATAAAAATCGACCTGTTTCAGGTTTTATTTCACATAATACATAATAACGCTAAAAATGAATTTATTCCATACATATGGACCGCACGGTAGAGCGGATTATAAGATCAGAATCAGAATTATTATTTGTGATTAAACCATTGCGACTTCGCTAATATGACCCAATTAATTATGGCTTCGGTTAGGCGCCTCTTCTGACTATAAAAATATTTGTTAACTTAATGTGGATTATGTATGTGAATTAAATGAATTTCTATTTTTAGTCGATTGTCTTTTTCAAAATCTTCTATTGGTCTATAACTTTCGAATATTTTTACCCCTAAACGCGTTCATAATTAGATGTTTAAGTAGTCATTAAATTAAGTTGCATATATATACTTAGATTGCACTACAAACTGCACTTTATTGTTAAAAAATTGCATTAATTAAAATCTGTGTTTTCTTTACTTACTTCAAAGATTCTAGATCAATTATTAAAACTAAAAATTACATTTTCTCATAAATAATTTTTATACATTAACTTACCTTCTTAATCATTGGATCATCCAAATACGCCAAAAATCTACAGCTTAAATTCTTAAAGTGACACGATCTGTCTGCTGCAACAAAAGCAGTTCCATTTTTAGAGAAATTAGGGCAAGTGATCGTCATTGCTTCGTTGTTGACAATGCCTAGTGGTGTATCTAATGCGTCTCCTCCAACCACACCCATGAATATAATCACTTCTAGTATTGGAAAAGTTAGTAAAAATAAAACACCCCTAAAAAACAAATAAATTGTAATTAGTACTGATCATGCTTATAACGCCAACTGGAGAGTCGATAGTCCTAATGCCTAAGACCAGGATTCTTGATAAAATTAAAACCGATGTGATTCTGTTCATAAACCAAGTATGCTTGATATTTTTTTTCTATCTGAGAAACCCAATCGGAGATATTGGCCAATACCTTACAACTATGGCTTATGCGGTATGGTAAGTAGTGGGGATTGAGAGAAAGAATTTGACGTTTAGACAGAATAGTAGGACCCACGGTTCGTAGAGCATGGAAAAGTAATGGTAAACATTCGACTGTTATGTTTGTTTTTGTTTATACCATTTATATCGGCCATGACACTGCAATCGACCTGCCCTCTCCATTCAGTTTCAATCGCGAATAAATGGGTTTTGTATTCTTGTGTACTCTGGTGACGTAACACAAGCATCCCCACCCAATGACAACGCATGGTCAATCATTTATTTCTATTACTACGTTATTCGTATTACAGACGTATCTTAAGAATTTCATGGGTGGATCGTGTGACTAATGTTGAGGTCCTACGTAGAATAGGCAAGGAATGCGAGATTATTAACACCATCAAAGAGCGCAAACTAGAATATCTTGGCCATGTTATGAGGAATGAACAGAGATACGGCTTGTTGCAACTCATTCTTCAGGGCAAGGTATTTGGAAAGAGAGGACCAGGGAGAAGAAAAATATATAGGCTTCAAAATCTGAGAAAGTGGTTTAATACATCGATAACCGGACTATTCAGAATAGCAGCAAGCAAAGTTAGGATAGCCATGTTGATCGCCAACATCCGGAACGGATAGGCACCGTAAGAAGAAGAAGACTACGTGATTCTGTTAGATCGTAGGTCTTAACAACTTTAAGATATAATACATATTCAATTTTATAATAATACTTATTTTAATATTACAGTGGTGTATAATTCAGAAGCTTGGTTCTAAAAGGGCCAATATCAGTTTTAGACTGTTTGGGCTTATGTACATTTTTGTCTTAGACTTCAAACAAACAATACTGTGTAAAAGTGGTCAATGTCTAGATTGAGTATCAACAGACTTACAGCATTTCTTTCGGCCAACTTTTATCTCTAATGAACACTAATTTTTAAAGCAAAAAGGACCAATGTAGACTTCAGTACCAATACTTGTAAAAATTTTATTTCTACACAGGCCAATGTTGACATTGGCCCTTTTTTAACAGAGCCTCATACGATTTGATTTGACATTGGTCCTTTATTTCTAGGATAGATTTCTGTGTATATATTATAGTGAGTGCAACAATAGTAATCTTTGTATTACAAAATCAACAGTGCGCAGTGGTTCTGAGTGTGTGTTTTAAAATACAAAAGTGATGGAGCAGTTATGCCGTAGCAAGAAACTTGTTAACTTGTGTAAATTAGACCAAATGAAAGAAAAACATTGATAATATTATAAAATTTAGATTTAAAGACAAAATAATGACTAAGTAAAAGCTGAATACTCAAAAAATGTACCATGGAGATCAAAAATTGAGTGACTATTATAGACCAACTGTATGAATATTAACTTGGCTAAGCAATTTCAGTCCTATAAAATTTAAATTTTGATATCAATTAGTGCAATTTAATAACAATTTATATTTAAACTTTAAACAATATGCTGCTGCCTTCAAAGCAAGAGGAGAAATATCTCATAAGGCAACACTTTATTATTATCATTATGTTTCCTTCATTTTAAAGTCATTACTCTCGAGAGAAAACTGCAAAGAAATATTTGTCTCCCGATTTTTCTATTTCAAAAATGTATAGGCGATATTGTGAGTATTGCCAAGAAAACAATGCAACACCTAGAAATGGGTCACTGTACAGACAAATTTTCGTAGATGATTTTAACTTGTCTTTTAGAAAACCAGCCAATGTCATGTTTGCAATAATAAAAAACAAATGTAGGCCAGTTTTACTGATTTCAACCATTCCGTAATCGATGTAAGAATGATAAGACAAAAAAGCAGTGTTGTACTATAAAAAATATATGTAATAATTTTAGATCTTTCTATACAAGAATGTTTCAAAGCAGTTTCCCCAAAAACAGCATTTGATGACCTTGGTCCTTTTAGAACCAAGTTCCTAAATTATTGTAGTGTTTCTGTTTTCTAACTTCCACAATGCTTTTAGTAATTATTCTATGTATAAGAAAGTAGGTTACGCCCACTGTGTTATTTTCAATGTCCTGATCTTCTTTGATATAATTTGTATAGTAAAACAAATGTCCTACTCATATATATATATATATATATATATATATATATATATATATATATATATATATATATATATATATATATATATATATATATATATATATATATATACACTAAAAGCCAAATAAAGTTGCGTGCACATCACCAATGTCGTAATTCTATTGTATGTGTGGCTACATTTCTATAGAAAAGTGTATGTTACTTTAGTTTGCTAAACAATCACTTTTAAAAAATAACCCGATCAATAAAAAAAACTTTTGTAACAAAATAATCTATATACAGCTATGTATATATAGCTTTTTTGGATTTAGACGTCCGTGATTGTAAAATTTTGTGTTGAAATGTTCATGAAGAAACATCCAATTATTGACGGAGTATTAGTCACTACCAGAAATATTGTCATGTTGCCGCGTCGTTTGTTGAATTTTCATTCAGTGGTCTGTGACTTTTGTACTCGTGGTATCGTCGATTTTTGAGGTTATCTTGTGAAAAACATTTATTTACTTGTCAAAATGCCCAAACAGCTCAGTAGTCGATGCAAAGAACTTGTGGCTTCATTAGTTAACTATTTTGAAGAAGAAAGGATTAATAATGGCTCTTTGTTACCCTTAAACGCTGTACAAGAGGTAATATGCGAATAAAATATCATTAGTTTACTTTACAAAAATTTGTATGATTTTAGGGTGTAGCTGCTGCTTTTAAAAATCAGCGTAAGAACAGTCAACAGCATATGTGCATATGTCAAATGCAGAAAAAAGGTGAACAGTGCGAGTCACCAAAGAAAAAGCGTTGCACTAATAAACGAGTAACTTATTGTTTGGTAATTCAGTAATAACTTTACCACTTTTATTGTGAAATTACTTACTTTGTGAAATCTATTCATGAATGTAATTAACAAAAAAATAAATGAAAAAAAAAACACTCATTTTTAAATTCCACTTAATATTGTTACGAAAGATTTATCCCACATAGGAAAAGTCCATTGACGAAAAAGAAGAAGTAGTTCGAGAACATTCAAGATGACATCGAAAATTCTTGAAATGTCTAGTGAAGTTTGGAACGTCAGAACATATTATGTATATAACAAATGTTTTTGACAGTTGGGGAACAGATGTATTTTGAATGTAGAAGTTTATAGTTGTCAGTTAGTTAAAAGTATTGTTATATTGTTGGTGTTGAATAAAGCTAAGTTTTAAGAAGTGTAACAATATAGTGTGAAATTTGCTATCTTCACCTTTTTTGTTTATTTAAGTTCTTTTCTGTTAATTTTCATACTTCATAAACCATCTGACAACGCTGCAAATGTTCACAATGATGACGTGAACGCAACTTTATTTGGCTTTTACTGTATATATATATATATAATATATATATATATATATATATATATATATATATATATATATATATATATATATATATATATATATAACAAGCGAGTCTTCTACAGCTGGCGCCGCTTCTCGCATTCTAATTTCCAGCGTTTTCTGTCGAAGCAATCTTCAGTTATTAGATCTCTGGCGGTCATTGCATCGTCGACATCGTCTCTCCAGGATCGTCTTGGTCTACCTCGTTTTCTTCTAGTTGGCGGAGTCCATTCTTCTATTTTTTTTTTTGGCCATCTATTTTCCGGCACTCTCTGAAGGTGTCCATACCAGTTAAGTCTTTTGGCTTCGATTGTGTCTATTATGTCTAGATCGATTTCCTTTTCTCTCCGAATATCTTCGTTTCTTACCCTATCAAGTCTAGTGAGCTGGCAACATCGTCTCCAGTAGTTCATTTCCATGGCCTTAATTTTTGATTTGTTTCTTTGGTTTATTTCCCAGAGTTCGGCGCCGTACAGTCCAATACTTTCTATTATTGTTTTATAAAATCTTCTTTTATTTTCTTTAGTAATTTTTTTATTCCATAATAGTCCGTGTAGCTGTCTGGTGGCTGATCTTGCTTGCTTACATTCTGAAATGTATTTCTTCGCTACTTCCTGCTTTTGATGTTATTTGGACTCCCAAATACTTAAAATTGTCTGTTGGTTTTATAGTTCCCATTTCGATTTGTAGGCTTTCTGGTTTTTCTCCTACAACTAAGTACTCAGTTTTTTGTATATTAATTGTGAGGCCCCATTTGGTGTACTCATCTTCCAGTTTTCTAAGCATGTAGCTTATATCACTTTCGTCTTCAGCTAGAATGGCTTGGTCGTCAGCGAAATGTATCGTGTACAATCTATCATCACCGATTGGGATGCCCATATTGCAGCACTTTCTTCTCCACAGTGAGAGTGCCTCATTTAGATATATTTTGAAGAGTGTAGGTGCTATGCAGCAGCCTTGCTTTAGGCCCTTACTAATAGAAATTTCTCTAGTTAATCTATTTCCAGTTTTAATGTTTGCCGTCATATTTTTGTAAAGCTGTTGTACTGCTTTTATATTTTTTTTGCTTATTCCTTGTTTTTCCATTGCTACCCAAAGCATTGAAAGTGGTACACTATCGTATGCCTTTGTCAGATCTATAAAGACTATATGAGTTGAAAGGTTGTGGGATAATCTTTTCTCGATAACTTGCTTTAGAGAGAATATACTGTCCATGCAGGATCTGCCTGCACGAAAGCCATTCTGTTCTTCTACATCTGTCATCTCTTTTTCAATTTTATTTTTTATTATTTTTCCATACAGTCTTGAGAGTGAATTTATGACACTTAGCCCCCTAGTCTAGAAGTCTAGTTTTTCCAGTTTTTACTTATGCATCGGAATGCTGGACCCTTACTGAGAAAGACAAAAAGAACATAGATGTATTTGAGATGTACTGCTGGAGACGAATGCTGAGAATACCATGGGTGGCCCGAAGAACAAATGAATCCATGCTGGTCCAGCTAAACATAAAGAAAAGACTAAGAACACAAATAACAGAACAGATAATAAGCTATTTTGGACATGTGCTTCGAAGAAATGGTCTTGAAAAACTTACCATCCAGGGAAAAGTAGAAGGCAAAAGAAGTAGAGGTAGATCTCCTACACGATACACGGACCATATTGTTGCTACCATTGGCGCTTCATTGTCAGAATGTGCTAGATTGGCGGAAGATAGAAAAACGTGGAGGAACATTGGAAAAATTACCTAACAGCTTCATGATATCACGATACCTGCATCAGGTTAACGACTAAGAAGAAGAAGCCCCCTATAGTTTGAACAGTTCTTTCTATCTCCTTTTTTGTATATGTTGTTAATATGTGCTTTTGTCCACTCCGGTGGTAAGTCGTGTCCATTATAGAATAAGGTGAAGACATACGCCAGTAATTCCCGTAATACTTGTGAGCTATGTTTTAATAATTCATTTGGTATACCTTGTGTCCTACTCTTAATGTTAATTTTACTTCATCTTTACCTCACTAAAACCAGTGACATACCATTTTATATGCCGAAATTCTCCTTGGAGTTCTACATTTTTTCTTCCGATGACATCATCCTGGTGTTATATGTTAGTATATACAATTAACACCATCCGTTTTTTTTTCCTCATCCGGATGCTACTAAATAAACGTGAGCTACATGAGCTTCCTAACTGCTAGATACTGAAGGCTTACTTCTCTGTTTTGAAAACTCATACGGGGAAATGAGTCAATAACATACCATACTGGCATGTTAGTAAGTCATGGGGATACAGGAAAGAAATTTGAAGTTTGAACAGAATTGTAAGGGATTTTATGGATCGGGGAGTTCAAAATTTCTGAACTAGGTATGACTGGGATATGCACTTCGATCGCCACATATTATAATTATCCCAATAAACTAATCAAATCAAAATTTTTCTTTGTAACTATAAACTCTAGTTGGCTGGTTTCTTCTCCTCCCTTTTATGTAGACATGACTCTGTCTGTTTTTCAGTGTGTCTTGATCTTTCATTTTAGTTTCGATCTTTCCCTAGCCAGATGATTTCTGATATCTAATGGTGGCTGGTTTCTTAGCAATAAACATTATCTTTTAAGTGAGGAGAGAAAGACTTACAAATCGTTTTTAAGTACTTACGTAACATTTCGGTAAAACTGCTTCCAATTTTTATCCAACAAGGCTTTCATTCTACTTCTGCTTAATGCCCCTTTGGTTTTGAGAATTGCCTTTTTTGTTAATACCTTAAACATAAAAATACTAGGTTTATTAGACAGTGCAAAAATTGTCAATGATTTCTTTTAGAGTTTGCTACGCGAAATAGGTACTTTTAGATCTAACTTAATAGATCAGATGAGATTTAGTTGATGATTTTTGATCTTTTTTTTATTAGTATATACCTACTTTTGGCCTACATTACAAATATAAAATTATTACAATGATTATAGATGTACAAACATTAATGTTTATATTTTGAGAACGATTTCCGAAGTGGAAATTGAAACGTCAATAAAATTACTTTAACCTTTAATTGTGGCTTATTCCCAATTAAATAGTAATTATTTTTGAATATGAATAACGATTTTATAGCATTAGTATTAGTATTAGATAATAGATATTAGAGCATTAGTATAAAAGTTAAATGTTTGTACATATTTCTTCTACTCACTTCTGTAGATTCACGAACAATTTCATTTATAGATGTATTGCTCAAGATATCAAAATTTTGTTGACCATTCTGCGCGTCTTCGATTAGTTCAGGTAGTCCTGTTAGTCTTCCTTCTTCTTGTTGTTTGCTCAGCTGCAGAAAAACTTCTTCCAGTGTCTCGCTGTTGAACAAAGTAAGCAATCGTGTTGGAGATTCTTCAGTTAAAAGAATTCCATCTCGCATCAAGGCTATCTAGAAATAAGTAAAAAATTGGTTATTGAAATGAGTTTAATTTTATTGGAAAAGGACGTAAATGTAAGGTGTCAATGAAACACCAACTAATTGACAATATTAGATATACGGAAGATACTGTTATTTTAACAGGAACTCTCGAGGATTTGAAGATACTGTTGAACAAGATAGTTGACCATGATAAAAAGTTAGCAGTTAACGGAAAAACCCTTTAAAGTAGAGAATGAGAACTATCTTGGCATTACTATCAATCACAGGAATGAGTACTCCAAAGAAACTAGGGAACCTAGAAAAAATTGTCAAATTTTACAACTCTATTGAGGTGTGGATGTAGTATGAAGTTAATTGAATTTCTGATCATATTTCCTTTACTTTGATGTATATAATCTTTTGAGTTGTTCTGACGGCTTTAGCTCAACCGTCATCGTGTTTCAGAATACACGTAAAGCCGTCGGTCCCCCTGGGCTAGTGCGTCTCAGCATGGCATAAAACATGGTGAAAGATGCAATGGTACCAGAACAATCCAAAAGGATCTTCTTAAAAGAAGTTTGTTAAAAAAATTCTTGGCTATTAAATGGGTTTTTTATGCATAAAATTGGATTGATGGTGTATCTCTCCTGTCGCTTCTGGTGCTGTGATTGTATGTTCCTAAGTTATCTTCTTTAGCATCACTGCCAATTCTGCTATTAAAGTCTCCAACGATCATTGCTACCTCATCTCCGTCTGACAATAGCACTATTTTATCTATTTTATTATTTAGCATACATAAAACTACACAAATATTAAATTAAAATAATAAATATACCTTGTTAGCCTGTCTACATTCCTCTATATAATGTGTGGTAACAATCACAGACGTACCTTCCCTCGTTATTTGTACTAGATGGTTCCATATTCTGCAACAAATAATTTTTATATATAGAATGACGTTTAGATAAACAGAATATCAATTGCTATAACTAGGTGAAGCCCCAGACAAATTACAACCCACGAACTTATAAAGAAATTTTACCATTACAATCAAAAAGCTCTAAGTTGAAGTCCCGTTATTCATATTGAATAGTTTATGGAATAATTTTACACTTATTAATATATTTTCTTATTCAACTTCGGATAAAAGAAAACAGAATCCTGGAAGAATGGAGATCAAGCATCCTAATATCTCTCTTCAAAAAGGGAGACAAATCAGACACAGAAAATTGCAGAGGAATTAAGTTATTAAACACAACACTAAAATTAACAACCAAAGTAATAACAAATAAACTGAATGAAATTATAACACTAACAGAAGAACAACAAGGGTTTAGGTCGGGAAGATCATGCAGAGATACGACGTAGATGCAAGATGGAGAATATTAAGGACAGAGTAAGAAATAGAAGAGTAGAATGAAACGATCATATAAACCGAATGACAATAAATAGAGTAGTAAAGACGGTCCCAGTAGGAAAACGATCAGTAGGAAGATCACGAAAACCATGAAACGATAACTTATTGAAGGCACATAGAAAAACAGACAGAGTCATGTCTACATAAAATAAAAAACAAGAAGAATATCGGAAATGTATTTGAAGACTTATTTCTAGGCTTAGACTATTCATCTTTTTAATATCAATAAAATATAACCAAAGTATTGCTAGAAATACCGAGATGAATAGATATATAAATAAAGAAATTAGGGAACAGATAAATCAAGATTCTCTACTAGAAAAATTGGAAGGAATCAATTGAGTTAAAACGGTGCGAACCAATTAAGCTAAGAGGATAATAGATTCAAAGAGATCAAAGAAAGCAAAAAAAGACAGATCACGGGAAAAACGTACAGTTAGATAAAGATAAATTCCACAAGAACGAGCAAAAATGATTTAAACAAAATGTATCAAGAAATGTAGACTGAAACACTGAAATAAATCTAAGCAGAATGGATGACTAAAATAAACAATCTAACCCTGAATTGAATAAGAATTCGCGTGAAGAAGAGGAAGTATTGTTTTTTGTCGAATACGATAATGTGTGTAAAAAGTAATATAGTTAAAGAAAAATGTGGGTCTTAGTATAAATGTTTTAAAAACACAATGTATGATTAATTTAATCTACAGCCAAAAAATTAAGTTAAAGACAAGGACAGTTGACTCCTACAAGTTTTTGAGCCACGAGATCAGAATAAATCGTAACAACGAAACAATCGAAACAATGAAGAGAAGAATTAACCTAGTTTGGGCTGCCTTTGCAATGACTAACGATATGTATTCCAATGCGTCTGAAAAGAAAAGTATTTAATTAGTGCATTCTGCCAGTGATGATCTATGGTGCAGAAATTCAACACACACAAGAAAAACAGTGAGTAAACTACAAGTTGCTGAAAGAGCAATGGAGAGAATAATGTTAGGAGTTTCTGTACGGATAGAGTACCTAATGGTACCATACCCAAACGACCAGAAGTATCAGACGTTATCGAAAGAAATACCACTAATATGGCACTGAGCTGGTCATATAGCAAAGCCAGTTGATGATCGTTGGACAACAATAATTTTGGAATAAAGACTAATGGACCAAAAAAAAAATTTATGAGAAGTCTATGTCTAAAAGTGGACGTTGGAGGCTAGATTATGATCATAATTTTGACGGTAATGTGTAAAACAATAAACTCTAAGACGCTTTACCTTTCTCTTAAGACTGCATCCATTCCTACAGTTGGCTCATCCATAATTACTAACTCAGGATGGTGCACTAACGCCACTGCTAACGAAACACGTCTTTGTTGACCACCGCTACAATTTTTCAAATATCTAAAAAATACATTAAAAATATTGACTGTTGAGCTAGAATTATAAAACATTTGGGAATCCTTGTATTTTGTACCGACATATTACCTGTCATCCGGAGGCAATTCTAGAAGTTTATGTAGTTTCCTATAGCTCGTAGCTATATCGTTTTCATCCATACAAAAAATTCTTCCGAAATAGTAAACGGCATCTTGTACAGTAAATTCGCCAACAAGTGCAATGTTCTAAAATAAAAGGGTTGTTATAAAATATAAGTATATACTAGCTGACCCCGCCACGCTTTGCTGTGGCTAGGCTATTATACGACTAATATTATGTTCAATTTATTTAACAGAGTTAAGTAAATATCTAGATTATGAAAAGGCTTTCGACAGCATTGAACACTGGGCGGTTGAAGAAGCTCTGGTCAATAGTAGAATAGATTCAAGATACCGACAATTGATACATGATATTTACCAAAACGCAACCATGACCGTAATTCTGGACGACAAATTAATAACGGATAATATAAAAGTTAAACGAGGAGTCCGACAAGGCGATATAATTTCACCTAAACTGTTTACCTTGACCCTCGAAGACATAATAAAATCAACAGATTGGGAAAACAGAGGAATATGTATTAACGGAAAATACCTAAATCACCTTAGATATGCGGATGACATACTCCTGATCTCCTCGGAACGACAAGAACTGGAATTAATGCTGAATGAACTTCATGAAAAATCACTGCAAAAAGGCCTAAAAATTAACTTCAACAAAACAAAAGTAATGACAAACACGGAAGACCAAGAGGCAATAAAAATAAAAACAGAAAAAATAGAACAGGTAAATGAGTATATCTATCTAGGACAAGCAATCAGAGCTAATAGAGAAAATCAAACAGCCGAAATATCGAGACGAGTAAGAATGGGATGGGCAGCGTTCGGCAAACTTTCTTAGGTTCTAAAAAATCAAACAATCCCTCTATACTTACGAAGCAGGGTATATAACTCCTGTATCATACCGGTGCTCACCTACGGAGCACAGACATGGACATTTGCACAGGCCAATTTGGATAGGATAAGGAAGGCACAAAGAGCGATGGAGAGACAAATGTTGGGTGTATCACTTAGAGATAGAAAACGTAACCAGTGGATCAGAACCAGAACAAAGACAGTAGACGCGATAGAACAAGCAGCAAAACTGAAATCGAAATGGGCTGGACACAATGAACGTCTCCAAGACGGACGATGGAACAATGCCATCGGAAAGTGGCGTCCATACAATGCAAAGAGATCAAGAGGCAGACCACAGATGAGGTGGAAAGATGACATCAGGAAACAAGGAGGTCCCACATGGCAAAGAACAGCTCAAGATAGGGAGAGATGGAGAGAACTGGGGGAGACCTATATCCAACAATGAAAGGATAGAGAATAGGTTCAAAAAAAAAAGTAAATATCATGAAATCCGTGATGGCATCCCCATTAAAATCATACATGCCAGAATTTACAAGAAATGCGAAGAAAATGTCGGTGCAATGCAATTTGGATTCCGCAATTCTATGGGTACACGTGAAGCACTTTTCACCTTACAAGTCCTACTTCAGAGATACCGCGATGTCAGTTGTGATGTCTATATTTGTTTTATTGACTACGCCAAGGCATTTGACCGTTGTCAGCATCAGAAGATGTTCGCCACCCTACAAAGAGTAGGATTAGATGAGAAGGACATTCGAATCATCACGAATTTATACTGGAACCAGCGTGCCCAAGTCAAGGTCGAAGACCAGCTGACCGACCAAGTGAAGATCATGCGAGGAGTAATGCTAGGCTGTGCGACAAACATTGCGTTTTTCTTCCGAAGCCCGAAGTAGTTCTTGGTCCTTCTATGTAAGTATTGACAACGGTTTTGATGAGATTTTATTACTTTGCTGTACTCCTAGTTTTCTTTTAAATGTTGACATTTTTGTGCAGTTTCACACTTGCTGTTGCACAGTCTAGAGGACCACAACAAATCAAGTGTTAGATGTTAAAGGATAAGGAATAAGAGCATATTTCGTTGAAGGGACTTGACCAGAAATAACAGAAAGTGTTACACATATATCTTCTTACGGTGCCTTATCCTTAAGGACGTTGGCCATTACATTTGCCCATTTAATCTTATTTGTAGCAGCCCTGAATAGTTCTATGGAGGTCATGTTCGTCCATTGCCGTAGGTTTTTAAGCCAAGAGTTGCGT